GTTATTAACAATAACACTACCATCAATATCATCAGTACTATTACCACCATCTTGCAACTACAACTTCTTTGCACCTTATCTACTTAAGTATTTTATTGTATTTAAATGTACCAGGCTGCTATGCCAACCAATTTCCCTTCAGTGAGTGAGTGAGTGAGTAAACATTTTTAACAGAAATGTACTGGAAAGTGACTTTTACAGTTTAAGAATAAACTTGACACTGCTCTGTAGTGGACAAAATATAGCATGGTGAAAGTTTTAAAACCTATCTTTGGTATTTCTTTACTTCAGTTTGTGGTCATTTATGAGCTGATATATGCAATGAGTCAGGGCAGGCTCTACTTTGAACCCAGAGTTTACTTTTAAATGGCTGAATATCACTCTGTGTTCCGGTTATCCCATTTGAAGCTTTGGTGGTTTATAACCATCCTGACACATAAGTACATAGAAAGGATATGAGACTGCAGCTCTCCAGGACAGCTGACTGTGGTGGTGAAGCTGGCGAACTGCACTGACGTCTTGTTGCCGTAGAATAAGTACATTCTCCCTGAGAAAGACACACACAGTTGTTAAAAGGTCTTGTAATTAACATGGCCTGTTTATAGAGTACTCAGAGTAAAATGTAATGTAGTAAGATGATCAAATACAGCAGGCCTCTAGCAAGAAGGATTCTTGCATGATCTTGTGGTTTCGTAATGTCCAGTTACCTCGCAAGGTTATATAGCAGAAGTACTGTAGACATATGTGATTTTAACAGAAACTGTCCAACCATGGCCACAACAAATAACAAAACTCTGTAAGACCACACACACTTCACAACATCATGCAAAACCATGTGTCAATAAAACCTGCCAAGAGACGCCCGCTTTTCTGTGAAGACAACTTACCCAGATTCTGACGATACTCTGACTTGATGCCAATCTGCAGCAGCTGATTCTCAAACAGAACCCCGTTGTTCTTGCACACAAACCTGCAGGGTAAAGGTATTAAAGGGTTAGTTAACGATGAAATGTCACTTTAACGATTGCTATTCTATCATATCCAGAAAAACAACTGAAGAAAAAACTAAACATTTGAACAGTAACTTGCCAGTACATTCAAAATTATGTTCTTGTCTGAACAGGTCTTTAGTACTCCAAGTACACTTGTGGCCCAGAGGGAAGTCATAATTACACAAACAATGGCCTACATGCTGTTTATTCCACCAGCAAATTTGTCTCACGATTTGCAGATATTGTTAACAAATGTAACTTTGGTAAAAATGAAGAAATAAATAAACAGTACAAATATCAGTAAAAGACTGAGAACGATTGGAATTGAGCTGGAAGCCAAGGAAGTAATATTATACTATGAAAACAAAAAACAGAACATTCAGTTAACATATTCATTTTTTTCTCTCACATATACAAATTTATGAGGTCTTGGACTGAATGTAGGAAATGCTTTGGGTCTATCCAAAATATAAACAATAAAAAAAGCTTTTGGTAAACCAGAAAGAAAGTGGAACTGTCATACAATGAATTCTACCAACAGTAACCCTGACCCTAACCCTTCGCACCCAGGTTTATGTAGGCAATCGGAGTGAGGGCCTAAAATACAAACATTTCCAAGACAACATTATTTCTCGGATATTTCATACATTTCCAGGTGTTTCCATGACATGAAAACTAGTCTCTAAACTTCCAGCTTTTCAAGGACGAGTTTTTCCCTAATGAGAGTGGCATCATGTCTGTTGTGTTATACTTATTTTAATATCAGGGTTGTAGCAGGTTTTAACTGATTACTGTTTTTTAAACTTATTAAGACCAATACCATTATGAATGCAATTTAAGATCCATTTAACGTCCCTAACGACAAAAAAGTACAAATGATGTGCAGGAAAATCTGTATTGGTTTCATGTTTCATTTTCTAGTTGTTACAGTTAAGATCAATACAAATCTTTCTCCAAAACACATTTAAAAGCGAGACTGAAAAATCCAACTTGATTCAACATTAACTTTAATCCAATCAAAATTTGGGAGACCCTGCAGACATGATGCCTAAATTTATCAGATACATACATTATTTTTGGCATGGCTAACAGAGAGGCAAAGTAATGGATTTTGAAGCCTCTCTAATGTGATAGCTTTTTGAAAAAGAGGAACCCTTTTAGTAATCAGTAGTGTATTATCACCAAGTTCACAACTTATTACAGCACTATGTTGGTCAGATGTCAGCCCTCCAACAAACCAGTGGATGAAGCTTAGTCCCACGTTTAGTGTAAGTGCTTATCTTTCTTAGTTTGACAGGAAATAAAACTTTCCTATAGCAAACATGCAGAGCTGCAGCTAGGCAAAAACATGACCGAGCTGACACACAGAGAAAGACCTTACTTGTTGAGAAGTTCGTCTGCCTCAGACAGAGGAGGAGCAGGATCCTCAGAGGGAGGAGCAGAGCTGAGAGCCCACAGGACAGCGCAGGGATGAAGAGAGCCCACAGGACAGAGGGATGGATGTAGATAGGCAACAAGACAAATGAGTAATGAATGGATAAAGCAGAAATGGGATCCATTCAACACAGGGTACAGCAACAGTGTGATTAAGATTGGTTAAGAGAAACACGAGAGAAGAAAGAATGATAAAAAGATAAAATGCAGAGGTTAGTAAAAGCAGTTTGTACAAAAATTATGTCATTATACAATGAAAGGTATCTGCTGGGTTACACTGTGTAACAAATACTTGTCCAGTGCAGTCAGTATGTATTCGGACAACGTTGACAGTTTTGGTTCCATACTCAGGCTCAATGAATAAGAAAGAAAACTGTATAAATAACTATGAAGGACTTAATAAAAGAGTGTTGTACATCCAGGTCATTGTTTTAATGCACTGTTCAAATTTGCCAAGAACATACACACCCTTAAAGACACTTTACGCAGCACTTTCACCTAAGTGACTGGTTCATTTGGGCTAGAATATAGAGCCAAAACAACTGAACGATAATCCCTGTCCAAATGTGTACAGACTGCACTCTACTTCAGGCACTGCTAACAGCACATATGTAGTCTGCACATAAAGTTTGATGCCATGAACCTTTTTGGTGCATTTAATGTTAACTATCTGCTAAGGCAACCTGTACAAAATACAAAAAAAAATTGTAAATGAGCCGCTTCTGGATTTGGATGGCCGGTACAGTGTACAATGGGTACATCAGAGCTTTTTCATTTAACAGCTGTTGGCTGCTGATAGAAATAGGGTTGATATTTTTATTTTTTATTTTAAATGTATAGCAAGCCAGGTACTTTTATGTTATCCTAAATGGCTCATGTGCATCAAGCTACCCACTCAGTGTAATGTATATTAGCATGTTCAATTCAAGAAAATCCTGTGCTGGAAAAACAATGTGGAGGTGCCATATTTGTACTTTTCTAACTAGTTCTGTAGTTTACTACTTGGCCCTTACTCCGAGTCACCAGAACCCTCCACCAATAGGGAATCAGAGGTCTCGGTGGGCTGTTCCAGATCTCTGCCAATGGCCAATCACGGTAGAGGACAGGAGACAAGACACACACACACACACACACAAGCACACACACAACAGCACGCACACATACGACACACAACACACACCACACACACAGGGGGAAATGGGAGAGAAGCCGAAGAGAGAAAAGACGCGAAAACGGCGCAGCCCACAGTACACAGCAAGATAAAAAAAACAGACAAGGCTGTGAGCAAGACGCTGGCCAACCATAAAGAAAAGACTACACCAACTGCTCCTATGCCTTTTATGGACACCTCTTTAAAATGCCTAGCGAACTTTGAACAGCCTGTGCCGCAGGCTGCACAAAGCTGGCCCAACTGTGTCTTACAACACACACAACAATGATACCCTAAAAAGACGACGAACATGACCAATACAGATAAACAAGCACCACTGTCCGCCAAAGCTGACATCACTGACACAATCGGTTCAGGGATACACAACAAGCACAATACCCACAAAAAGATGGAAGAGCATCAGGGCACAACACACATATCCCACACATAAATACACAAAACACAGCAAGTGGTTCCAAATTAATTAACACAGTGATGGACACAAGTACAGCCTACAGCAAGTTGCCCTAAGCGGAATGAACAAATAAACATGTAAGGTACAAATATTGCACTGGTATCGTAATTTTTAAATGGATAACCCAGCCCTAGTGGACAACAGCCGATGGTGCCTCTGTGACTTTCCCTAGGTATGAATAAAATGTTTCCATTGTTGATGAGCACAGGAATGCCAGATGCCTCGACTGTTGGAAAACAACAAAAAGGTCAGAATGGTAATTATTTTCTTACAACAAGACTCTATACACACAACAGTTAAAAAAAAACACATCGCACACAAATTTAACACCCAGTCCAACCACACACAAAATGACAAAACAAAATGAACGCATAAATGGCAAGCTATGGGGACCCAAGGTGTAGTCTCCTAATATTCCTGTCCCAATTCATCTCTGGGAAAAAATTAAACAAAGTCACCTAAAAAAGGAGGTAGGAGTTGTGCTTCAAATTCATGTAACATAAAACATACAACAGGATAACGACAACGTAACAAAAACATTACCATACAGAGGCACCACAACAAAACTGAACAGAAAAAACAGAACAACACTTACTTTAGAACAACTATTATCTAAAACAAACTGGAAAGATATAGTGAATCACTTTGTGACACGGAGAGCCAGCTTAATACACAATGACACCCAACAAACATTATATGGTACAAAATACAACAAATGCAAACATGCCATAAAATTTGGAAGGTCCCTGCAAATGCACGAAAAGAAAAACAACATAAAACATAGGAACTAATGACAGCACTACAACAAGCAAAGGAGTTAACAGGCACACACACAAATAATACCATGACACACACATGATGCCTAGGTGGTACACTTTCTATCAGACCAACAGACTTATTTTTCAGCAGTTATAAACACAAACCGTCTGTTGGATCAGCACACACAAGGCACAATGTCCCCAAAACACATCCAATCCAATGAGACACCTAACACAACAACATAGAAACATAAAATATACCACCTTACAAGACCACAAGACAAGCAAAAACGAGCAGCAGTTTGGAGTGCAGAACACATACAGCATTCACAAATATAAGAAAACATAATACAAGACAACAAATAAATATAGAGAGAAACCGCCCATATTTTAGACATGCTTCTAAAAACACATCAACTTGAGACAATGTTCACCATGCTCTATATCCCACCCTAAATGACGGACCCATGATACACCGATATTAACACACAAAACAAAATCAGCGGGTTTTTATCACATTCAAAACGTCAGTGGTCTTATGAAATACACAATGTATTAAACCAAACAACCAATATATAAACGTAATATAATAGATATCACCAAACAAGACTGTCTTCCTAAAGAAAAAATGCACAAAGCAAGAAAGACAGAAGATCCCTAGTTCATTATTTTAAAAAAGCCTACAGTATCTGACTCATAAGGTGACAGGTGCATATAAGACAAAGATAGAGCAAAGAAAGACAGAGCCAACAGAGCACAGACACATTTCACAGGCTTAGCTGCATGTAGTCTAATCAGCACAAACAACCACAAACACCAAACAAACTATTTACAACCTTTAAGACCAAGGAAACAACAGAGTACATCCAAAATCAGGGGATTCCCCATTAAGGTCCAAGACCAAGTTTTGCCCAGTCCAGTATCAGCAGGCACTGTTTGATGGATTTGGATTTTGAATTTGGGTCCAAAAAGATATTTTTGTATGTATGTATGTGATGGTACTGTTATGTATCAAGTGGGAACAATGTAAGCATAAGTTGGTTTGGACACATCTTTTTGCCCTGCCTCGCCCTCCTCTGCGTGGTCAGTCTGTTGCCATTAAGGCTCTTATATTACTCGCCATTCCCTGACCTTCAAGCGGACAACGTTCACCGTCCGGAAGCGCCGTAACTACTTTTACTTGCGCTGGCTGGGTCCGCGACACTAGTTGCAGTATTCTCCTGAACGGAGGTGTCGCAACTGAGGAAAGGCTACCGACTCCTGCGTATTTCTACCACTAGAAGAAGAAGAAAAAGGTAAACAATGGCACACCCTCTTTTTGATTTTCCAAATATTCGCCGGAGCTTCTTCCAAATTTTCCAGCATATGGGACCTCCTCTTTTCCAACATTCATGGGATTTCTTCCCCATTAATTCTGGCACCTCTGTGTTCCTTTCATGAGGGATGTACAGATGCCTGTAGGGCGCACTTGCTCAGCAAAGCTTGCCCTCGAACTCGTCCATCTTCCTGTTTCCGCTTTGGCGCGCTCAGCTGAAAAAAAAAAAAAGAGTGGTGCGCGACCTGGCGCAACCTGGCCTAAAGATCTACGTCATTTTGACGTCATATTGTCACGTGACAGGTCGGGAACGACGAGTATGTAACAGCCTTTACTTAAGTGCATGTAAACACATTGAGTGAAGGCAGCAGTACAGTAGAATTTAGAGATGTCCCTTGCCAGTCCTAAGGATAGGTTATACCAGCTGATTAAACAAAGGAAACGCCAGAGCTGGAAGATCTGCCTGTGTCCTTCAAATCAGTGGTTTGGGAACAATTTGGGTTCCCATTCGGCTACAACAGCAATGGAGAGACCAGACTACTAAACCATTACTCCTTAACATCACACCCCTGGCAGATATCCAGTGTTTAGGGACTCGGATCAGGATCAGGGCCAGAAAAAGTTATCATCTGTCATCTGTTGGTGAAATTGTATTGAACTATAAAGTCAAAAAAAAGTTAGTGAAGTGTTATGGCTGCACTTTTAGCCAAAAATGTATGATTTGGTTTATATTACATCCCTCTCTACTCTTCTAATTTCAAGACTTTAGAACAGATTTTTTATTTTCTACAGTACTGCTGTCTCAAGTAGACACTCCTTCCTCCGGTAACTGGACTGCATTATCAGCAAGC